TTTTTTTTTTTTGTTTCTAACTTTTTCTTTCAAACCAAAACAAGAATTTAAGCCATTCTCAATCTCATATTCATTAACTGATGAGTTTCATTCTTCCACATCTTTATATTTGTAGCCAATCCTATTCTCTCCACTTTGTGCAAATTTTCCCATGTCACCTTTTACATTGAACAACCAAGAAGAGTTTGAACTTATTGGAACCATGAAGTGACATCTTTTACCCACAGAGAAATGAGGGTCATGAAATGGTGGCCAAAGAAACACACACTATTAATAAAAACTACAAAACTAAGTAAAGGGAAGATAAGCTGAGGTTTATTCTTCTATCCATACCAGGTTTGTTAACGTCTACCACTTTTTCCAACTGACTTGAAGGTGATTGCATTGTAGAAGTCTTACGATTATCCTTCCTATGTGGTTTCTTGGCATGAGAAGCCAAGCTCGCAGCGGCATTAAGTGCTTTACCCAACTCCTCCAGATCTACATCTTCATCATCCCAATCCTCCCACCAGCTGGTGTTTAAAGCTGATACTGATGAAGTTGAAGGGACCACCTCCTGAGAAGCGGCATTTGGTTCCTCCTTATTGTGTAATTTTTGAACACGAAGAGCTCGCCAGCTGCATGTCATGATATATAATCTTAGGTATATAAGTTTAAAATGTTTGCAACAGCAATAATACTTATTGCAGCTTTGTAATATCAAAACAGAACGTTTATAAAGACCTAAGAGGTGTGCTCCCACATTTTGGCATTAGACAACCAAAAACAAAAAGAACACGCTCTTCAATCTTTAAGTTTTTACTTGAAATTGGGGCATAAACCTGGAAAAATAAAAATAAGAATCATGGCCGTTCATTTCAAATATGTTCACAAGAAATTGTAAATTTATTAGTTTCTAGAAGAAAATTAAACCTGAGCAACAAGACTTAGTTTACTTCCACATGCACTGCACTCAAGCAGATCAGGTGTCACGGATTTCTCAGGAAGAGGCCAGTCCTGTCACAAAGAAAGTAAAAAGGGATATAAAAACAAAAATAAAATAACAAAAACTCAATCAGCATATCCTCCAACAAAACATGACATTGCGTGCAGTTTCTCACAGGTAGTCCACCAATTTTTGTTGTATAATGATCAGATTGTTCACGATAATCATTGGCCCATGGTCCTGGCATCCCTAGTAGGACTGCAGCCATCACCCAAGGTCCTGGAAAAAGCAA